TGGATGGAATGTACATTGTGTAACTTTGATCAATATAGAGACTTAGGTATCCATTACAGTTAGTTAAGTTGCAATGTAAGTATCATTTACAGGATGGCAGTATGAAGATAAAATACTTGTCTTAATATATTTTATATTAATGTGTATTTTAATATATTTATGTCCAGATATGAGCTGCAAGAAATAACTATTCGGGTCCACTTTTAAAGATTATAATATTTTACATATTTTCACAAAATCATTATTTATAAAAATATTAGAATGTAGTATGTGCAAACAGTTCTGTTATCTGGAGAAGGAGTATTCTGGGGAATGTTAAAACATCCTATTATTCCTTTGAATTATTGGGGTCTGGTTGTTCCAGATGGTCCAGGAATTTTCCAAGCAGGAAGTAATTTGTGATACTGCAGATGGAGACTGAGCATAAAATGCACCCAAAGCTTTTACATGCTTAATACATTATGGTTTGCCACACAGATTTGGCATTTTTTTTGTCCACCTATTGGGTCCTTCCAAAGGATCTGTGGTAGGCAGATGTGGATGTTAAAAGTATTGTTGCAGGATGTAAGCTGTTCTGAGCAAACCCACCTTTTGCAATTGACTGATGGAGAATTTGTCAATGTCGATGATGTTCAAGTAATGCTCCAGTTGTTTCGGGATTGCATCCAAGATTGCATCCATTACTATTGGTACTGCCTTTGCTTTCTTTTGCCACAGTCTTCTTATTTTTATTTGCAGCTCTTTGCATTTTGTTATTTGCTCCAGTTCTTTCTCTTCTACTTGGTCATCTCCAAATACTGACACATCTACTACTCAGACTTTTACTCTTTCTTATCCACATTTGTTAAGTTTGGGGTGTTTTGTGGCAGGTACCTGTCTATAGGAATTTTAACGTCCCAGAGCCCTTTAGGTTCTTCATTTTCTATTACTTTCTCTATTTTATGGTCCCAGCAGTTCTTACTTTTTTGCAGTCAAATATTATTTCTTGCAGTTCTTCCAATGCACCGTTGTTGTTATTTTGTCATGCCATCATTTCTAGTCAGTCTGTGTGATCTTCTTGCAGTCCGTGTGATCTTCTTGCAACAGCTAACCAGATGATTCACTGTTTTTGCAGCTTCTTTGCAGAGGTGGCACTTGCTATGCATTTGTTCATAAGGCTTGGTCTTGTGCACTCAGAAGTAGCCCCTCTGTCTCTTTCTTCAACTTTCCTGTTCTTAGCCATTGCCAGGTCTTGTTATTATCTGTTTTCCCTGCAATTTTTTATGCACTGGCCATGTAATGTTTGTCTTCCCATGCCTCTTCTCTGTTTTTCATATAGGACAATTTGGTCTCTCAAATGCTCAGTAAGCTTTTCTAGTATATTAGTTTTGGTGCATCTTCTTCACTATAGATACTTCAGATATTCTTCCAATGTACTTGCAATGCACCCACTTATTTTCCTTGGTAGTAGAGTCCATGACTGGGGTATATGTGACTGAGCAGATTCCGCTAATCTAGGAATGAGTGCAACTGATCCAAAACACGAAGCTGTGCAAAGGCCCTCCTAACCATGACTTCCACCTGATATTTGAACAGGAATAGTTGAGTGCAAAAGAACCCTCAGATTGTGCGCACACACACACATAGGGATAAGCAACATTTAATTTGAAACAGATAATAAATAATGAAAAGGCTAAAAAAAAATCACAATTCCAAAAAAATCACCTTGCCAGAAATCAACATCCAGATAAACAGGGATTAACATCAAACACAACGAACAGTAAACAATAGTCCAAGTGAGGAACTGCCAACTCAGTTATATAATCAAATAATCGAGGAACTACCAAGGAGAAAACAACACCCCCATCAACACTGACAAGGTAATGTACTGTACATAAACAGACAGCAAACCTCATGTACTAAAGAAATTACCTAGTTAAGCAATGAAACATTTGCAAGCAAACCAGAGGTGGTATTCAGCAGGTTCTGACCAGTTCTGGAGAACCAATAGTGGAAATTTTGAGTAGTTCAGAGAACCAGCAAATCCCCCCTCTGACTGGAGATCTTACAGTATCCTTCCCCTGCCACGCCCACCAAGCCACGCCCACAGAACCGGTAGTAAAAAAAATTGAATCCCACCACTGAAGCAAACTACCAAAGAGAGCACCAAGGTCTCTACAGTTCAAGCTCCTGAGTTTCATATATTCTCTTCTATTAATTAACTTTCTAAATATCTTCTCATCCTTCCAAGTAAGCTTTAAGTGGTAAATTCAATAAATTAAAAGTTAATGTTGCTACCTACCCATTCAGAGGAGGGCAATATTTTCCTGACAAGATTTTTTTTCACATTGGGATAAAAGATTTACTGTCACTTTTTAATCAAATTTACATAACACAGGTCCTTGACTTATGACCACAACTGAGCCCAACATTCCTGTTGCTAAGTAAGACACTTGTTAGGTGAGTTTTGCCCCATTTTACAACCTTTCTTGGTACAGTTATTAAGTGAGTCACAGAGGTTCTTAAGTTAATAACACAGCTGTTAAGTGAATCTGGCTACCCTGTCAAATTTGCTCACCAGAAGGTCTCAAAAGGTGATCACATAACCCAGGGACATTGCAACTGTCATAAATATAACCAGTTGCCAAGCATCTGAATTCTGATCACATGCCTATCGGGGTGCTGTCATAAATATGAAAAAAGATCACAAATCATTCTTTCAGTTCTGTTGTAACTGAAGGGTCAATAAATGAATTGTAAGTCGAGGACAGCCTGTATATTGCTGCTATTTATTGTATAGGCCAAATTCCAAACTTAGCATAAAACAAAACATATTCTGGAAAAAACAGGTGTATAATAATTTAGCAGTTTTAACCAGTGGTGGGATTCAAATGCGTTTACTACCGGTTCTGTGGGCGTGGCTTGGGAGTGGCAGGGGCAGGATCAGAGGTGGTATTCAGCAGGTTCTGACCAGTTCTAGAGAACCAGTAGTGGAAATTTTGAGTAGTTCGGAGAACCGGCAACTACCATCTCTGACTGGAGATTTTACAGTATCCTTCCTCTGCCACGCCCACCAAGCCACACCCACAGAACCAGTAGTAAAAAAAATTGAAACCCACCACTGGGAAGGATACTGTAAGATCTCTAGTCAGAGGTAGTATTTGCTGGTTGTCTGAACTGCTCAAAATTTCCGCTACCGGTTCTCCAGAACTGGTCAGAACCTGCTGAATCCTACCTCTGGTGTTAACTTTGAAATGGATGTACATATTTCCTCGACTGAACAGAATTTGCTCTAAAGGTTGTATAATCTGATTAAGGCTTAAAATAATTCTAATCCTAATATGTATAAAGCCTTAATTTTGTTCTGAATCAGTATTACAAATGATATAAAACAATAATTTTCAATTATCATAAATATGTTAGCTTTGCATCATACTGTGAAAAAAATTGTATTAGATCCTCCTTTTTCATCATTAAATATTATTATTCTCCTCCGGTTTTTGGAACACAATAACAAAGTGGAGTTATTCCTGTTATCTTTTTCCTCCAGTATACAATTATTGGCAAAATAATCTGTTTTTCTTTTCCTCAGAGGACTCTGATGCGAAGCACTCCAAAGACCCCTGTTCCCTGTTGGCTTCAGGCCAGCAGGGTAGAAGTGAAAGGGACAAGTTTCTCACACCTTTGCTTCATTCCCTGGTTTTTGTTTTGTTTTGTTTTGTTTAATTTAAAGGGGGAAAGCATCTTATCAGGAAGGGGGAATAGGACTCTCTGCGAAATTTATAATCTGAATTTTCAGTGGAAATCATGCTATGTTTACTAATTGAAATATAAAGACATATAATAGTACAATTGAAAAGTTGAATGCGCTACTTTATGGCCAATTTGTTAGGAAATAGAAGAAAAAAAACTGCAGGAATTGTTTGTACAGACAAATTGGATGGCAGCGTGCCTGGAGCTTATGGGTGGATATTTCTGTGTTTTAATCACATATATGATATATAATACACACACGCACACACACTTACATTTTGGAAGTGATATTTTTGATGTGAAAAAATATTTAACCGGATGGAACAACATAGACACAAAGCATAGTGCCCAGTCTTTCTGTTTCCTTACCACCTTCCACTCCAACACTTCTAAAGAATGTGTGGGTTGGAATTCCAAGATCTTCGTCTTTAAAATAATTTCCTTTAGATCTAAGAATTCTTTCTAAGCAATTATCATGTTACAGAATTATTAAACAGGAAATGTTTCTCTAGCATGTGGAAAATATGAGATAGCAATACTACTGTAAGATATGGTTTTCCTGAATTGTAAGGACAGGTTTTATGCCAACCCAAAATCCTGCTGAATTCGTTTGCTGCTTGTACTGACATTTTTAGACTGTTCAGGCGAATAATTAGGGACGTTTTTTAAAGTAGCAGGTGCAGTAATGGTGCTTTACAAATAAGAATAAGAACATTAAATATGCCTCAATTAATAGCCATTAATATTTATTGGCTACATTGACTAGGCCTATAATATTTTACCCAAATATTTTGCAATTTAATTTTAATTTACTTTTTACTTGATGGGGTCATTTTCAACAACAATGGTATACATGACAAAATTGCAAGGAGAAAGCCACTATTCTCCAAAAAGAACATGGCTACCTGTCCACAGTTTGCAAAAGACATTGGGGGTAAGCCAGAAGGCTATTGGAAGACTATTCTGTGGATAGATGAAACCAAAATTAACCTTTTTTTGTTTTGTTTTTTTAAAAAGCATTATATTTGCTGAAAATATATCTTGCATTGTAGCGTAAGAATCCTATCCCATTTGTGAAACATGGTAGTGGCAGTGTCATGGTTTGGCCCTACTTTGCTGTCTCTGTACCAAGACAGCTTGCCATCATTAATAGAACTATGAGTTCTGAATTGTACCACTGAATTCTATAGGATATAGGGCAGTGGTGACTAACCTTTTTGGGCTCCTGTGCCAAAGGCAATGCGTGTTGGGGCCTCCCCTACACCCAGGGGTGGGATCTGACAGGGTTAACTACCAGTTCGGTGATTTACGAGGTTCAGTGATTTATAATGTGTTTCCCTGCATGCTGTGTGGGCGCCTGTAAATTGTATCAGCTTGCTACCTGGACAGCTGAACAGCGCTGAGTGCAGAGAAGCAGCGTTTGAAACAGCACTTTTTCCCTGCTTTTGCAACTGCAGCTGTGCGTCTCACAGCAGCTGAGGTTGAAAAAGCAGGAAATAAAGGTCAGGTAAGAGCCCGGGTGCATGAGTGGGCCAAAACATCAGCAGACATAGAACCAGTTCTATGTCTGCTGCTGTTCAGAGCTACCGATTCTACAGGGCCAGACATAACCAGTAGAATCCCACCCCTGCCTACTCCCCCTGCGCATGCTCACATGACCCCCCCATGCACCACACATCTGTGCATGTGCGTGTGATCCACCCATGTTCCCGTGTGTCTCTACACATGCACGCACATCTCCCGTGCATCTCCAGCCCCCCACAGACACGTGTGCTAGATACCGACAATCAGCTATCAGGCAGGCGGCATGCGTGCATGCACAGTGGGGCTTTTCCGGGCGACCTCTCGCATGCCAGCAGAAGTGCCATAGGTTCACCATCACGGATATAGGGTATCTGACTTTGAAGGGAAGTTCAAGAGAAAGTGGGTCATGGGCCAAGAAAGTGACCCAAAACACAAGTTGTATGATCAAAGAATGGTTAAAACAAAAGAAAGTTAATGTTTTGGAATGACTAAGTCGAAGTCCTGACTTTATTCCTATAGAACACTTGTGGGAGGAGTTCATGAGATAAAGTCCATTAACATCTCTAAGTTGAAGATATTCTGTAAGGAAGATTGGGCTAAAATTTCTCCAAGCTCATGTGCTAGATTAATTAACGGTTATCAGAGAAGTTTGATGATGGTGGTGATGATGACATTATTCAATCATGTCCCACTCTTGGCAATTCTATGGGCCAGGTCTCTCCACAACTTCTGATCTTGCAACCGTTCTTTGAATTGTTCTGTGTTCTGGCTGCTGTCAGCTTTGATGATGTCCAGCCACTGTGTTCTTCAATGACCTGGTTTCCTTTTACCGCTAACTCTTCCAAACATAATTGCTTTCTCCAATGAATTCTCCCATAAAACATGGCCAAAGTAAGTGAGATGCAGTTTCATGATTTTGCCTTCTAGTAATACCTTCTGGTGTTATGCACTCCAGTACTTGCTTGTTACTCACCTTTGCTGTCCAAGGAGTATGCAGGAGTTCGGCCTTCTCTAGCATCACAGCTCAAACAAGTCAATTCCCTTCCTGTCTTAATTTTTTAAGGTCCAATTTTCACAACCATAGGTAGCTTACACGGACTAGCCTACGTTTGGTTGCCAGGTTGATGTCCTTGATTTTCCATGTTCGATTCATGGTCATCATTGCTGTATGTCCCAGTGCAATCCAACATTTATTTCTCTGCATTCACCGTTTTGAGCTGTCTGTGATCCTAGGAAAGTGATTTTTTCCCCCATGCATTCTATCCCTTCACTGTCAGTTTCTATTTTGATGTTTCCATTCCTTGCACTGGTCATGAGTTGGTCTTTTTGACATTCAGAAAGAGAACAAAATTCTCACTTTATTTCACTTTCCATTTTTGGAAAAGTTTCATTGTAGTAATTGTTGTCCATGGGGGAAGGGTCGGAGACATCAGATGCTGACAGAAAAGATACAAATACTTTGTAGCTCCATTATTTTCATGAGTAGAAATGATGGATGGAATGGTTGCAGACCTTTTTACCAATGTAACCAATCAGCACTTTATTACTCCAGGTAGACCTCGACTTACAACAGGTCGCATAGTGATTATTCAAAGTTACAACAGCAGTGAAAAAAGTGACTTATGACCATTTTTCACACTTACAACCTTTGTGGCATCCCCAGGGTAATATGATCAAAATTCATGTACTTGGCAACTGACTCATATTTATGACTGTATCAGTGTCCGGGTTGCAACCTTCTGACAAGCAGAGTTAATGGGGGAAGCCGGATTCCCTTAGCAACCATATTACTAATTTAACAACTGCAGTGATTCATTTAACAACTGTGGCAAGAAAGGTCATAAAATAGAGCAAAATTCACTTCACAAATGTCTCGCTTAACCCAGAGGTGGTATTCAGCAGGTTCTGACCAGTTCTGGAGAACTGGTAGCGGAAATTTTGAGTAGTTAGGAGAACCAGCAAATACCATCTCTAACTAGAGATTTTACAGTATCCTTCCTCTGCCATGCCCACCAAGCTACACCCACAGAACTGGTAGTAAAAAAATTTGAATCCCACCACTTAACCACAGAAATTTTGGGCTCAATTGCAGTTGTAAGTTGAGGACTACTTGTATCCTGTACTTAGCCAGCCTGGGAAGAAGTTATTCCCCTTTCTTAGTAAGGAACCCTGAGCTACCTTTACATACTGAATATATAACTGTATTTAATTGTATACAGGTAGATCATGGAGCTTTCTATTGCTCTTCCATTCCATTCAGTAATAATGCTGTTATTAATTTTTGCTATGGACATCATATGAGAAAATACTTGCCATATCCAGAGAAATAATGACAAGTAATCCTGAGCTTGTACATAGTGTTAAAGTTCAAGATAAGGAACTTCGTGCTAAATTATATAGACATACTGTTTAAAACAATTTGTTCAGTCGATTTCAGAAAAGACATTAAAATATCTTAAGTCACTTCCTTATTCATTTCAAGAATCTTTGTGCACTTGTTATCCAGCTTCAATAAATCTTTCCAAGCCTCTTTAAAGTATGTCTCCAGAGATAACAAAATCCCATTTTCCTGTCTGTATTTAAATACATAATCGTGACAGAGATTTCCTTTTGGCTGATGTCCTAGATTTGGTTTCAAAAGTTGTAAATCTATTCAGTTTTAGAGAGAAATATGAAGTACAACAGTAGATCAGACCTTAAAACAAGCTAAATTGCAACAGAATTTTTTATTTTATTTTTTTGTCTTTGCTTCTTCTGTAAGTTACTTATTTGGAAATTGATGTAATAGAAAATTGCCATTTTTAAAGCAATACCCTATTCATACCTGCTTTCTGTTTCTATTCTGTATGGCGTCAGTTTAACTTTAAAGTGAAGATTATCCCATTAATTTCTTCTGTTTTAGAGTAAATTTGATTAGAAGCCATATCAATAAATAGATATATAATTTTGCAACTCTTTTAAAAAGATAAAAGAAATGTGGATGTTTTATTCAGTTCAACAAAAAAACGTTAACACTATTGGAAACCCTCCTTCAATAATAAGTCTTATTACTCATATTTCTTTAGTGCCTAAAAGTGTTCACGATTGTGCATCTCCACATGGATAGAGTTGTACAACCAGATTTAATCTCATAAAAAGGATTTTGTTGTAGAGAACAGTATATTTGTTTAGCACTGGATTTTGTTTGTCATAACTGCTGCCATTATTTTTCTTGCATACATGTGTATTATAGTAAGCTTGTAGGTCCACTGGAGTACATTGATATGTAGTCTATAAGAAACTGAGCTAGCTACTACATTGTTAAAATGCAACCTAAGCCTAACTAAGGATATTGCCAGGGCAGCTTGAAGAAAGAACAGGTATTTCTCCCTGCAATAAAGTTTGAAAATAAATTACACCAAAGTGAAATTAATTTGTAGAAGACAGAAATAAATATGGGATCATAGGCCATTATTTTCCTGTATGTTTAGTTTTGGTTGGGTATAAATTACTAAAGCATATTCAGTCTACTGAGCTTTAATAATTGTATAAAACTGTAATTAGTTTATACAAACATGAAATTAAGATTTGTATTAGCAACTAAGTTTTGTTATTTGTAAAAACTTATGGCAAGAATGCCAATGAAAATACTCTTAAATAACATTGGGTGTAACACAGGATTTTCACACTACCTGTTCCTCTGAGGGAAATCCTTACTCTGCCTTCAGGGTGACCTCTTCAAAAACTGTGGATATGGGTTGAGTTAGTCAATGCATTGTGCTTCTTCTTGAATTTTCACTGGCAGAAAACCAAAGTATCAAGGGAAACAGGTAGGGCAGGGCCCCAACTCTAGTTCAGAAAATATGTTCTGCTATTACAACTTGTTCTTTCATAGTTCAGTCTGTTTTTCAGGAAAAGTAACACATATATATGTTTCATCCTGGAAAACATTTGAAATCTCTGATTATAAACATACGTAATTTTTTCAAGCAATTTTGCTTTTAAGGTAAATTGGTCTTTGATATCAGAGGCATTTCAGAGGGCACCTTCATGGTAGATAACTTGATAAGAACAGAGTACATTACAGCAAGGAAAAGAAAACTGAAAGCTGAGAAACCAAAAGGGAAGAAATAGCCCTGCTGAGAAGTTTCTAACAGGATGACTTCCCTTCAAGAGAAAGAAGACAAGATTGGCAGTAAATGGACAGAAATATAAAGTCTCATATTAAAGTACAAAGCCAAAAAAAAAAAAAGACCCAAGTTGGTTAGAAAGGCTCAAAGCCTACGTTTTTTTCTCACAAAGATTGTATTTTTTGGAAATATGATGGCTGGACAACTGGAAAATATAAAGGAAAAATAACTTCCTGCTGATACAACTTCTGTATATAATGTTACTCATTTGACTATTTTATAAGTTAAGAGTGAAATCCTTAGCAATTAATACACAATAAAACTTCAAAATAAAAGAAAAATCATGCTAATCTTGGAGCAAAGTTTTGAAAGAATTGCTTATTAGTCCTTATTTATTCACCATAACTGGGACCAGCAACTCCATTACTAAGCAATATAGTCATAAAGCGAAACATTATATGACCATGCATACTTACTTCAGTTTGTCACTTCTGGGTACAGTTGTGAAATGAATTGTCTGCAGTCATTAGGTATATGACAGTGGGGAAGCCAAAGAGACAACTATAGTCCTACACTTTAATGTTTATTTGTCAAGCAAAAATTAATACTTTGCATAAGCAAAATGAAAAAAATTAACATGTGACAGGGACTATATGCACATTAATGCATTTACACCCGCCTCCTTAAGGACCTCTTAAATATGAGATGAGGTCCACAGAAGTTAGGTTGGCATTAAAAATGTGGAAAGTTAGTTGCTGAGACAACTGAATCAGGTAGACTATTCCAAACTTTGACAATGCTATTGCAGAAATCATTTTTTTTCAATCGAATTTAAAGTGGTTTGCATTAAGTTTAAAGCGATTATTTGCATGTGTTA